CATGATGCATAAAGATAAAGTTTTTAATTTAACAATTAAATTTTAAAAATATGAATCGAAAGATAAGTTTTTAAATATATTTTCTAAAAGAAATTTAAGAGAACTATTTATAAAACATTTCGCTCAAAATATAATTATGTTTTGTTTACTGTCTATACCTATAAATGAAAACAATTTTAGGTTAAATCAAGTTTAGACGAAGAATTCAGGTAATAGAGTCAAACCCACATCCAACATTGAGGGAAGAAGGACAAGAAAAAGTGAAAAACTATAAAATTATTTTAAGAAAACCATCCAACGTTGCTCCAAGACCACAGTAAAAAACCTCTACCCAAAAACTTCCTAAACAAAACCCTCGCCTCCGTCGTTGACTACTTTTGGGCTAAAATGAAATGACCCTTTTTTTGTTTTGAGGAAAGAGATAAAATGAAATGACTTCAACATTAAAACTGGTTTTCTCATTTGGAGAATTATAGGGTAGTAGGCTTATAGGGTTTTTGAACCACCACCACCTCGTCCCATGCTCTCTGTCTTTTTTGCAGTGTGTCTTTGATTTCTGCAATACACGGTACGGGATACAGTCTGCATTGCCCTCTCTATGTCAGAAAATTAAATGAGGGTTAGGAGACGAAGTAATCGACTGACACGTGGCCAAAAGAAAAAAAAATACTAGGGTGTTTTTTTTTCCCGCAAAAAATACCCTTGTGTTAAAATTTAAAAAGATTTGTGCTTTTATAACTAATTTATTTTCAATATTTACCGAGAATTATATATAGAGGTAACAAATTTAGTTTTTATTTATATAAATTATTAAATATTTATTTAAAATTTATATATTAAAAGTTAAAAAATTAAATTATGTCTATTAAATATACCTAAAAAGAGTAGATTTAATTTAATTATTTTATTTTTAAATAAAAAATTAATGTATTATATAAATAATAATTAAATTTTTTATCAAATAAAAATACTTAACAATAATTTCACATAAGAAAATTTAATTATTTTATTTTTAAATAAAAAATTAATGTATTATATAAATAATAATTAAATTTTTTATCAAATAAAAATAATTAACAATAATTTCATATAAGAAAAAACTTTTAATT